AGGCAATATTGTCAGTGAGGTGGGCAGGGGATCAATGTCCGTAGCTGCCAGATCGCAAGGTCTCATTCTTTCCATTTTTTCCCTAGTCCCCACTGAACTGCGTAGACTGGGTTTTCTCTTAAAGGCAAAGGGCAGCAGTTGGCTACAGAAGGAGGGGATGCTGGCAATATGTCAGACCCCACCTCCCCACACCTTTGTCCCAGGGCGGCCTCACCCATGTAGCTAGGTCTGGGCTGGCTGTACCTCCTGGGACCCCCCCACCCTGCTCCATTGGGGCGGTGTTAAGGCAGGACAACAAAGAGCCCTTCTTAACAGGAGATAGATAAGGAGCTGATTAGGGCCAACGGCCCTTCCCCGCCCTTGGCAGCATCTGGGGGTGGGCAGACCCCTCCATCCTGGGCAGAGTAGGAGGCCTCGGGGCCCCTGGGAGCACAGTTTTCTGCAGTGTGCCTTGAAGGTATGGGTGATGAGGAGGTAGAAAGTGGCTGAAGTGAGATGTTTGTCTAAAAGCACTTTTCTGTTTCCCAGCATCCCAGCCATCACTCTTCCACCTGCTCCTTAGAGAAGGGAAGATGAGCGAGTCGAGCTCGAAGTCCAGCCAGCCCTTGGCCTCCAAGCAGGAAAAGGACGGCACTGAGAAGCGGGGCCGGGGCAGGCCGCGCAAGCAGCCTCCGGTGAGTCCCGGGACAGCGCTGGTAGGGAGTCAGGTGGGTGTCCAAACCTTTCCTTCACTCGGTTTACCCTTTGGGGCTAGGGAGGTGCCTGGAGTTTCATTCAGCAGGCGAGAACATGCATGGAGGGTGCAGAATAATTCTGTGCAGTAAGCATGTGGGTGTGTCCTCCCACCTGTGTGTACTCCTGCCGCACTTGCAACTCTGCTCAGATCTCTAGAGACCACCAGGAGAGAACGGGGGGCCGAGGAATTCAAGATGAATTCTGAAGCCAATGGCAGAAAGTCAAACCTAAAGCACCCCAGAGGTCATGTACCCAGTGCTTACTTAAAACATTCACCTTTTTCTTAATTTCCAGTCCACTGTGGACCGGTGATTTTAAAATATAGTAAAGATGAATGAACAGCCGGATGCGGTGGCTCACGCCTGTAATTCCAGCACTTTGGGAAGCAGAGGCGGGCGGATTACTAGGTAGATTGAGACCATCCTGGCTAACACAGTGAAACCCCGTCTCTACTGAAAATACAAAAAATTAGCCAGGCCTGGTGGCGGGTACCAGTAGTCCCAGCTACTCTGGAGGCTGAGGCAGGAGAATGGCCTTGAACCTGGGAGGTGGAGCTTGCAGTGAGCCGAAATCATGCCACTGCACTCCAGCCTGGGCGACAGAGCGAGATTCTGTCTCAAAAAAAAAAAATAAATAAAAAAGATGAATGAACAAAAATAAAAACACACAGAAGCTCAGGGTTTTTAATAATTAGTTTCAGTGCACGTAAAATGATTTTTGTCAATTTGCTGTAAAGTTTCTGAGTACTTATGGTTGATTCTTGTACTTCCTCATCCCAGGTGAGAAACAGGTACCTGCGTGGGCCTGCACCTGTTCATGCACAGGCCATGTTATGAGTAGTTCTGGAATGGGCATTGTCCCTGGCACTGTAGATGGAAATTGAAGCCCAAGAAGTCAAAATGTTGGGGAGTTTGTGTCAGTGACCCTCAGAACCCTGGTGCTGCTCTCCCCACAAGGTCCTCATAGAAGGATGAGGCTGCCAGCCTGGCACTGTGGGGCACCCTAGGGAGCATGGCCACTTGGGCTGGCGAGGGGTGCCGTATTGGCCTCTTACAGAGGCAGCTGTCACCCAAGTGAGGGGTGGCTGTTGGTGAAGCCCAGTTACTTCCCTTCCCTGGGGAGGAGGTAAGAGGAGTTGAGGTTGACCTCTGCCCTTTAAACATGATGTAGGTTGTTCACCTGCAGGTTTTCCTTGTCCATGAGGTGGAGAGTGGTCTGTGCTGACCTGGGCCTAGGGAGACACGAGCTGTGATGAGTCTGCTGTGTTGGAATTCGGCAGCCACCTTTAGAGCCTGGGGTGGGATCATTTGTCCTCTTAGCCTAGCTCCCTCAGCCTCCCCTCCTATCCCAGCTGTTAGCCATGGTCAGTGGGAGGTGTCAAGAGGGGTGCTGGATTACTGGATCCTGGTTATAGACAGGCCACGGGCAGCCCCCTAGGAAACAGTAGCTGGCGCGCCTTCACCGTGTACCTTCTATGCATTATGCAGCAGCTTTTTATTCTATTTAGGGCTTATTAAAATTTCAGTGGGAATGATGGCAGGGATCTCTGGGGTCCGGCTGTAATTCCCCTTCTCTGGGGGCAGCCTGGATGGGCTCCAGGTTTGTAAGTGCAGGCAGGGAGTGTGTGTCCAGCATAGGTCATCTGAGAGGGTGGGCAGTGATCACGGGACAGTGCTAGATAACCATACATTACCCATTTAATCTCCATGACAACCCTGCGAGGGAAGTCTTTACCATTTATAGATGAGGAAACTGAGGCTCCAGCATTACGTATCCTGCCCAAGATCAGTGTCAGAACTGGCACTTGGGCAGAGCCACCTAACAGTATCTTTCTGTCCCCAGAATGCTTTTCCTAGGGGTCTTCTGGGCTCTTGTCATTTTGCGTCTTAGAAATCCGCAGGGAGGCAAGGGGAGGGATGGGAGGCACTTTGCAAAGATGCTTAAACTGGAGCTTTGGATCCTGAAGGGATTCCTGGGTCAGAGGTGGTTCTTGGTTCTTGCTGACTTAACCTTGTTGAGGAGGCAGAGGGCTGTGTCTTCTAAGGGGACGGAAACACAGGTAGTGACTGTCCCTGACTATCCTCTCTGTCTTTACAGAAGGAGCCCAGCGAAGTGCCAACACCTAAGAGACCTCGGGGCCGACCAAAGGGAAGCAAAAACAAGGGTGCTGCCAAGACCCGGGTGAGACTTGAGATGGGACCAGCCCTGGTTGGATGACCAGCAGAGGATCCCCTTGTTGGCTCCATGGCCACGGCTGTGGGGAGGTCTGGGAAGGGGCTCAGTCATCCCAGTTGTGCACCCCCTTCCCTGGTACAGGGGTGGCAATGAGTCTTTGCTAACTGGGGAGAGTGGGGCAGTGACTAAGGTCTCACTTCTGTGGGGTTGGTCCTGCCCAGGACAATGCGGAGATGAGGTCAGAAGTCCCACGGCTTTCCTGATCTAGAGAAAGGCGGAGTGGGGAGAGTGGAGGGTCCCTGCCAGCCCCTGGGCTGAGAATGTTACCTTCTCCTCTTGGGGTCCCCTGGAGCCTGAAGGGGTGGGGACAGGCAGCAAAGGCCAGATTCACAGTGGCATCAGCCTTTCAGAAAAGTTGTTTTGTTTTTTATTTTATTTTTTCTAAGACACGACTCATATCCTCTGAGTCATGGGTGGAGATGGGAGTAGGGGGCGTGTGTGTATGTTGAGGGGGCAAATGTGGCTGGCCAGTCATCGCCAGCTGGACTTGGGTGGGCCTGTTGGGTGAGAGTGTTGGGCCGCCCTGAACAGGCAGGTAGGTCTGCCCCTCCCTCACCACTGGTCATCAGGTGAGCACTGTTGAGCATTTTGGACTTAGGAGATATTTTCTCTAACCCTTCAGAAAACCACCACAACCCCAGGAAGGAAACCAAGGGGCAGACCCAAAAAACTGGTAGGTGAAGAAGCAGACTGCTGCTTACCTCGTGGGCTCTTTGAGTGAGGGTGTTAAGAGTACATAGTACCTAATGCTATGCACCCCCTATGGAAAGGCTGTCCCTGACCTGCTGGGACATCAGATTTTATAGAAGTCCAGAGCGGGGAGGGTGCCTGGCCTGGGCTGTGCCCATGAGAAGTGAGGGGTCCCAGGTACAAACCAGACCACATCCCCCTGCCCTGCCCTAGTTGTGTGGGGGGTCCCTCTCCTGCTCCTAGAATCCTCAGAACTTCTGGGGGAAATCTGGGAAGTCATCTAGCCTGTGTCCCCCTCAATTAGAGATGAGGAAAGGAAGCCACAGGGGCAAGGTTTGTCCTTCCTATCGTCCTCTGGAGAAGAGAAACAGTGAAGGAGCTGGGCCCTGGGAGGGGTCAGTGCTGGAGTTCTGATGTGACCCACCACACTGCACTGAAGGGCACCATCCACTTCTGGGCCCTCAAACAGCTGGTGGAAAGGCTCGGTGGACTGAGTCAGGAGGCTGCCTCTAGGGGGCCACTGCAGTTAGGGTCACCCCAGCCTTCCAGCTCCTGGCCTTCTCTTACCCCCAGCCTGCCCCCTCAAATCCCTGAAGCTGTCATTCCTCGAGCTGAGCCACTGCTGGGGTGGAGGGGGGTAGGGGGTGCTGCTGGCCAGGCCCCAGGAGTGAGTAACAGGAAACAAGTTGTTTTGGAGTTTGTGCCTGGCACGGGGGCTGTAGCCCCGTGTGGTGTCCCGACATTCCCGCCCAGTGAGTGAGCCCCGGCGGCACACACTTCCCCTTCCTCCCCACCCCGGCCTGGGGTCAGCCCTCGGCCACTCCCGAGGGCCAGGGCACCACAGCGCAGCATCTGCCCCTGTGGGCCAAGGACCTGGTTCCCCTGCACCCACCAGAGGGCTCATGTACCTTCCAGCCACCCCTTCCCATTTCCTCCCCCAGCCACCTCCTCCCCACCTCTTCTCCCCTTGGGAGCCAGTCACGTCCTGAAGCTCAGTGCTGCCCTGAGCTCTGCCCTCCTGTGCTCCATGGGCTTGGGGGCCAAAGGGGCTTGGCTTCTGGCTCTGGGTGACAGCAGCATGTGTGTGGGGTTTTTTCCTCCTTTTAAATTCTTTTTATGAATGAAGCCGGGCCGTGGAGGTTGCTGAGTCACCCACACACTCAGCCCTGACTCATCCCTCTTCAGGAGAGCCAGGGAGTGCAGGGAGCGGGTGGGGGCCAGTCTCTGGGGGTGGAAGAGGGGGGCCAGGCCAGAGCTCACACCAACAACTGCCCACCTCGCAGGAGAAGGAGGAAGAGGAGGGCATCTCGCAGGAATCCTCGGAGGAGGAGCAGTGACCCATGCGTGCCGCCTGCCCCTCACTGGAGGAGCAGCTTCCTTCTGGGACTGGACAGCTTTGCTCCGCTCCCACCGCCCCCGCCCCTTCCCCAGACCCACCATCACCACCGCCTCTGGCCGCCACCCCCATCTTCCACCTGTGCCCTCACCACCACACTACACAGCACACCAGCCGCTGCAGGGCTCCCATGGGCTGAGTGGGGAGCAGTTTTCCCCTGGCCTCAGTTCCCAGCTCCCCCCGCCCACCCACGCATACACACATGCCCTCCTGGACAAGGCTAACATCCCACTTAGCCGCACCCTGCACCTGCTGCGTCCTCACTCCCTTGGTGGTGGGGACATTGCTCTCTGGGCTTTTGGTTTGGGGGCGCTCTCTCTGCTCCTTCACTGTTCCCTCTGGCTTCCTGTAGTGGGACCTGGGAGGGTTCCCCTGGCCTTAAAAGGGGCCCAAGCCCCATCTCATCCTGGCCCGCCCTACTCCACTGCCCTGGCAGCAGCAGGTGTGGCCAGTGGAGGGGGTGCTGGCCCCAGGATTCCCCCAGCCAAACTGTCTTTGTCATCACATGGGGCTCACACTTTTCATCCTTCCCCACCTTCCCTAGTCCCTGCACTAGGTTGGGCAGCCCCCTTTGGCTCCAGGAAGGCAGGAGGGGTGTGTCCTTACTCCCGCTTCACTGTGGCCACAGCCCCCTTGCCCTCCGCCTGGGATCTGAGTACATGTGGTGGTGATGGAGATGCAGTCGCTTATTGTCCAGGTGAGGCCCATGAGCCCTGTGGCCGTCACCTGAGGTGGGCTGGGGCTGCTCCCCTCACCCTACTTTGCTTCCGCCACTCAGCCATTTCCCCCTCCTCAGATGGGGCACCAATAACAAGGAGCTCACCCTGCCCTCTCCCAACCCCCCTCCTGCTCCTCCCTGCCCCCCAAGGTTCTGGTTCCATTTTTCCTCTGTTCACAAACTACCTCTGGACAGTTGTGTTGTTTTTTGTTCAATGTTCCATTCTTCGACATCCGTCATTGCTGCTGCTACCAGCGCCAAATGTTCATCCTCATTGCCTCCTGTTCTGCCCACGATCCCCTCCCCCAAGATACTCTTTGTGGGGAAGAGGGGCTGGGGCATGGCAGGCTGGGTGACCGACTACCCCAGTCCCAGGGAAGGTGGGGCCCTGCCCCTAGGATGCTGCAGCAGAGTGAGCAAGGGGGCCCAAATCGACCATAAAGGGTGTAGGGGCCGCCTCCTCCCCCTGTTCTGTTGGGGAGGGGTAGCCGTGATTTGTCCCAGCCTGGGGCTCCCCCTCTGGTTTCCTATTTGCAGTTACTTGAATAAAAAAAAATATCCTTTTCTGGACTGGAGTCTACTGTGGTGTGTGCCCCTAAAGCCTGGGGCAGGTAGGGTAGGTGACACTTGGGTTCTGGCCCTGTCCTTCAGGCTGTGGGAAGGGAGGGGAAACAGCACTGGAATCACCTCAGAGGAAGGTCATTTTAAGCCTCTTGATGAAATTAACAAAACCCCTAGCCACAAAACGTTTTATTTACAAAATATATACTGAATCCTATACATCTGGCCCCATCACCATGGAAACAACTCCAAAGCCCTCCTGGGGATTTATGCCCAAGCCAAGCCCAGGAGGGCTAGAGAAAGCAAAGGTGTCTCCCAGCCGCCTCCATCCCAGAAGGAAAACCTCCCATGAGTGCCTGTGGGTGGGCAGTGAGCTCGACACCCACAAAGGGCAGAAGGCCTGGGGGCAGTGAGGTGATGGTGAGGGTGTGGGAAGCAGATGCTGAGGGTGGGTGGAGGGAGAAATGGAGACCCAGCACCCAGCAGGGGGAGCCAGGGGAAGCAGGCTGACGGCAGGGCCCCAGGCAGTCCAGGACAGCAGGCTCTGAAGGGTGGGGCAAGGGGGTCAGGTCACGTCTTGACATCCAGCAGCGGCATCCGCTTGTGCTGGTAGCCACTCTGCCAGCCATGTACCACCTGTTGGGCAAGAGACCACACCACAAGGCTGGGCTGTGTTCCCTGGGAGTCTGCAGCACTCAGTTACAGCCCAAGTGAGCAGAACCAGGCTCTGGTTTCAGTGTGGACGAATATGGCTGGGAACAGGGCTAACCCCCACCTTGCCTCATTCTCCCCCTGGCGCCCAAGTGCTCACCTTGGGGTCTCCCATGTCAGAGAGCAGCTCCTGCTCAGCCTCATGCAGTTCCTCGGCTGGGTCATAGCTGTACATGGGGAGCAGGTGATGGCGCAGCCGGTCCACCCTGGGGAGCAGGGGAGGGGACTCAGCCTAGGAGGCCCCCCAACCCTCATCAAACACCTGGCTGCCCCATCTCGCCTCCCTCTCCCAGGCAGGGGCACTTCCAGTGGGTGCCTTTTGGGACACACTATAGTTCCAAGAATACAACCCTGATTCTACAAAGGGACTTTCCCCAGTGAGTAACCTCAGGCTGGGGCAAGGAAAACAAAATTGAGGCTTGTATCAGGATGGCTTCTTTCTTACAGAAAACTCAGAGCCTATGAGCAGGAATTTCAGAATGGGTGTGGGGATAGGGCAGGTGGGGAGACAGGGACACTCACCGCTTTTTCTTCTGTACATACATCACCTGCAACAGAGACACAGCACTGTGGGGGCTGCTGAGCCCGGGAAGGCCCACAAGCAGAGAGAGGCCCACCTCCACACCCTTCACTCCCTCAACAGGACAGTGGGGACTCTGTGCAGACTGGACCAGGCCCACCCAGCCCCTGCCTTAGCAAAGCTGTGGGTGTCTGTGTGTGTATATGAGGGCTCCTTACCACAGCCACCACCACCCCGACCAGGGTGATGAGGAAGAAGGGCCCCAACACATAGCCCACCATGGAGTCGCTGTTGGCCTGGGGGGCATTGGGCACAGTGGTGTTACTCATGACATCAGCAGCCGGAGGGCTGGGTGGTTGGTCAGCATGGGCAGTGGCACTTCGGGAGGGCGCCTCCACTGGGCTCCCTGGGGAGGAGGAAGGGAGGTTATCAGTTGCACCCAGGTGACATCCAGACTCTGGATCCCTGCCCCAGAGCTGGAGATCTATGAAAACTGGTCCCAGGTCAAATCCTGGGAGGAGGGATCCTCCAGGTAGATGTACCGGGTGTAACCCTCCAGTGAGTCTTGGCAAATCCTGGCAGGAAAGGGGATCAAGGGAAGGCCTGGATCCAGGGCTGAGTCCTGCCCAACTCCTATCCCTATATCAGGGCGGGGCCCAGCTAGAGACATTTACACGTCTCAACTTCTGGGGAAAGAAGTGCAGGTTTCCAGTGCCTGCCCCAGCCCTTTTGGGGCATTGGGCTGCCAGTACCTGTCCAGTGGAGCAAAATGGATAAATGAGGTCTAAAGGAGGGACCTGCACTGCAGCCAGGGGTGAGGTGGGAGCATCTGAAGGAGTTCCGCTTCCATCCTGGTCCAATCCCACTTCAAGCGATGGGCTCCATGCCTGAGTTCTATGCCCTTGTCCCTGGTGTCACCTCAGACATACAGCCCGAACACCCTCTGCCCCATCGGTTTCGTGTGCCAGGGTGGACACGAGTGGGTAAAGCTGGATTGTATCTTCAAGATGATGTCACCTTCCTCTTGTCTCCACCCAGGGCTCCGCCCAGGTCCCTCCCCTCCTGGCCTGGGCTGACAGGCAGAGGTGGAGAGGGTCAGTCCCCATCGACAGAAGCAGAGATCGTCCTGGGGCGGTTTGCACGCTGATGGCCCAAGGTCCGCGACCCAGGTTCGCTTGAGTCTCTATCAGAGGGCAAGGTATGAACGACCTACCCCCGTGTCCGTAGGGCACGGGGCATCGAGCTTGCCCTTACCCAGTCGTATGCTCATCGTCCCAGGCCAAGGGGGCATGCCAGGGTGGGGAGGGCGTCAGGCCGCTGCTAGGATGCGGGCCAGCAACAGTGGACAGGAGGTGGTTCCCACGGCGCTGGGAGGCTCAGGCCGGAGGTGGGGGGTGTTGGGGGACGCGGATGAGCCGCCCCGCGCCCGAACATCCTGGAAGCCTGGCACCCCGAGGCGTGGACCCGTGCCGGCGCTCTGCAGCCCAGCCGGCCTGGCCATGCCTTACCTCCCGCCGCTGCAGCCCCGACAGGAACGCCCTCGGTTGGCTCCCCGGCCCCGGAAAAGCCGTCAGGCGCGTGATCAAAGGACCCGGGGAAATGGGCCGGGCCTTAGCGCCTGGGCGCAGCCAATCCGGTAGCGGAAAGCGGGTGGCCTGGAGATTTCTGGAGCGGCCAATCCGGAGGCGGGGGTGGGCGGTGCGAAGGCGGGGACAGCGGGGCTTGCAGGGTCCGCCCCGCGGCGGCAGGGGGCAGCCGAGGGCTACGCAGCGGGGGAGGAGCGGGCGGCTCGGGGCAGGATTGGGTAGGGCGGGGCGCGCGCAGTTTTCCGGAGGCCCCTGGCCCTCCCGCGTCAGGAGCTCGGATTCTGGGAGATCCCAGGCGACCACCTCACTCACCCGTCTCGTTGCAGCCAGAGTAGGGTCGCGCCGCGCTCTAACGTTGAGCCCAGGCCCTTCGCGGCAGGACCCTGCTCCGGGCCCTCTCGGCCTCCTTCTGTGTTTGTTCCCTGGCCTTCGGGCTGTGCTCGACTGGTAGAGTGCGGCAGGACTGGGCTACCGGGGGCCCTGGCACGCCCACCGTCTCTGCGCCTTTTTTTTTTTTTTTTGAGATGGAGTCTGGCTCTGTCGCCCAGGCTGGAGTGCAGTGGCGCGATCTTGGTTCACTGCACCCTCCGTTTCCTGGGCTCAAGCGATTTTTCTGGGCTCAAGCGATTTTCCTGCCTCAGCTCTCCAGTAGCTGGGATTATAGGCGCGCACCACCACGCCCGGCTAATTTTTTTGTATTTTTAGTCGAGACAGAGTTTCACCGTGTTAGCCAGGCTGGTCTCGAACTTTTGACCTCAAGTGATCTGCCTGCCTCAACCCCCCAAAGTGCTGGGATTTCAGACGTGAGCAGCCGTGCCTGGCCTATTGTGAGGATTAAATGATGACATGAGCAGGGAGCTTACCACATAATATCCCCTGAAATGTTAAGTTACTCCTGTTCACCTGTTTTCGGTTTTAGGGAACACACCAAGCGGCGGGGTGAGGTTCCCCTGGGTCAAAGGCAACTTGCTAAGTTGGTAAACTTGGGTCAAAGCTTTTGTGGTCTTATCATTAAAATGGCACACATTTACTGGGAAAATCTGACTAAGGCCAGTGGAATTTACCAGTGTCAATATTCTGGTTCTGATTATTACAGTTTTGTAAAACGTTATCATTCTGGGATTTTTTTTTTTTTTTTTTGAGACAGAGTCTTGCTCTGTCACCCAGGCTGGAGTGGGAGTAGCTGGAACTAGGGGCGCCCGCCACCAGGCCCGGCTAATTTTTTTGCATTTTTAGTAGAGACAGGTTTCACTGTGTTAGCCAGGATGGTCTCGATGTCCTGACCTCGTGATCTGCCCACCTCGGCCTGCCAGAGTGCTGGGATTACAGGCATTGGGGGAATTTAAGCAAAGTGTACACAATCTCTCTGTATTATTATTATTATTATTCTTTGGAGATGGAGTCTTGCTCTGTCAAGCAGGCTGGAGTGCAGTGGCACGATCCTGGCTCACTGCAATCTCCGCCTCCCAGGTTCAAGTGATACTCCTGCCTCAGCCTCCCAAGTAGCTGGGACTACAGGCGCCTGCCACCATGCCCGGCTAATTTTTGTATTTTCAGTAGAGACGGGGTTTCACCATGTTGGCCAGGCTAGTTTCGAACACCTGACCTCAGGTGATTCGCCCACCTCGGCCTCCCAAAGTGCTGCGATTACAGGCATGAGCCACTGCACCCGGCCTCTCTGTATGATTATTTTTTTCTTTTTTTTCTTTTTTTTCTTGTTTTGTTTTTTTGAGATGGAGTCTCATGCTGTCACCCAGGCTGGAGTGCAGTGGCGCGATCTCGGTTCACTGCAAGCTCCACCTCCCACGTTCACGCCATTCTGCCTCAGCCTCCTGAGTAGCTGGGACTACAGGCGCCCGCCACCACGCCCGGCTAATTTTTTGTATTTTTAGTAGAGACGGGGTTTCACGGTGTTAGCCAGGATGGTCTCAATCTCCTGACCTCGTGATCCGCCCGCCTCGGCCCCTCAAAGTGCTGGGATTACAGGCATGATCCACCGCACCCAGCCCTCTCTGTATGATTTCTTACAACTATATATGAATCTACAGTTACGTCAAACGTGTATGTGTGTGTATACATATGCATATATATTTTATATATATATAGTTTTGTAGCAGACCCTCCTCTACCCCCCCAAAATCACACACGATTGGGAAAACTGACTGGCAGATTATGGAAACCACCCAAGAACATCAAGGTTCTGGCAGCTGAACCAGGCTAAAGCCCTCCTGGATCACCAGGTGGTAATGGGCAAAAGGCATGATCTAGGTCACCCTGTTCTTGCCAGAGGAACCCTTAGGGGCAGATGTGAGGTTCTGGGAGCCCAGGCCCTATTAGCTAGAGGCAGCCAGTGGTGCCAACATGGGTGAATTGCTTCGTCTGGTCCAGCTACAGGTTTCCTCAGGCCCTTCCAGGGAAGGCTGGATGAGGGCAGGTCTGGTGCAGAGGTCAGAGGGCAGATGGGAACTTTGATCCCTTGTCTCCAGACACCACCATCTGACTGTCGTGGGGAATCAAGGATGGAGGGAAAGGATTGAAAGAAATGCGTGAGTCTGGAAGCTCCAGTTGGATCTCCTACTGCTCTCAAGCTTTTGAGTCTGGAGAGTAGGGAGACCCCTCACCCTAGGCTTCTGTCAGATAGAGCTGGGCCTGCCATGCCTTGCAAGCAAGTTGGGGGTAAGTGATGGGGTTTGAGAACTTAGGCCCTTACGACTGCCCACACATTCAACTTTTGTCCAGTTCCTCAGGCCTTCTAACCACAAATCTTGAGGGCCCTCTATGAGCAGGCCCAGTGGTCACATTGCTTAGAGGGGTATGTGGAGAAAGCCACTCTCAGGGCCAGAGACCCAGTAAAGATTTTACTTTCTTTTCCTTTTTTTTTTTTCCCCCTCTCCTGAGATGGAGTTTCGCTCTGTCATCCAGGCTGGAGTGCAGTGGCACGATCTCAGCTCACTGCAACCTCCGCCTCCCTGGTTCAAGTGATTCTCCTGCCTCAGCCTCCCAAGTAGCTGGGACTACAGGTGTGCACCACCATGTCTGGCTAATTTTTGTATTTTTAGTAGAGACGGGGTTTCAACATGTTGGCCAGGCTGGTCTCTGACTCCTGACCTCAGATGATTCACCTGCCTCAGCCTCCCAAAGTGCTGGGATTATAGGCGTGAGCCACCACGCCTGGCCAGGTTTTACTTTCTTTAATCCTAAGAGAGAACACCCTTGTGAGCTAGGCAGGGCAGGTGGAGCAACTGCGATTTGCAGATGAGTCAGTTGATGCCTAAGCAGTGTGATGACTTCTCAGGGCCCTTGGCCTGATCATTAACGGCAGAGTGGGACGAGATGACGGGTGGGCCTCTCTTCTTGGACAACTCTCTGCTGACAGCTGCCCCAGAGCTACATTTGAGGCCTGGTGTCTTCCTGTGTTCAAGCTTCATATCTGATGAGAGTACCTCCAAGTATAGCCAGGAAAACTGCCGCTCTGCCTTCCCTCTTCATGCAGCTGCCATTTCAGGAAGCGGGAGGCTAGGGTGGGGCTGAGACTACATTGTGCTCCGCTGCTCGAGTTTTGACTGCCTCCTTATCCATGCTGCTGTGGTTAGTGCCTGGACTTGTCTGCCCACTTCAGCTAATGCCTCACTCATCCTTGTGTCCTCCAGCTCTGGATGCACTGAACAAACCAAAAAAGCAAGACCTGAAAGGATTGAACTATTTTCGGTTAACTTCTAGAATGAAGCTCAAGAAGATTTATAGGAAGGCAAAAATACCCAGTTTTTATAATATCTGACATCCGTTAAAAAATGGACCCTGGTGGCCGGGTGCGGTGGCTCACGCCTCTAATCCCAGCTCTTTGGGAGGCCGAGGTGGTGGATCACCTGATGTCAGGAGTTCGAGACCAGCCTGGCCAAAGAGGTGAAACCCCGTCTCTACTAAACATACGAAAATTAGCCGGGCATGGTGGCGGGAGCGTGTAATTCCAGCTACTCAGGAGACTGAGGCAGGAGAATCACTTGAACCCAGGAGGCACAGGTTGCAGTGAACCAAGATCACGCCATTGCACTCCAGCCTGTGTGACAAGAGTGAAACTCTGTCTCAAAAATTAAAAAAAAAAAAGGGCCCTGGCTGGGTGCAGTGGCTCACACTTGTAATCCCAGCACTTAAGACAAGGAATGTATGAAAAATATCCCAGTGATCTTCTAGAGATGAAAACTACAATATCAGATTTAAAAAAAAAACCATACTGGACAGGATTAATTACACTGGACAGGATTAATGGCAGGTTAGATGTTACAGAAGAAAAGACAAGTGAACCTGAGGGCATAGCAATAGAAACTATCCAAAATGAAACCCAAAGATTAAAAAATTAAAAAAAAAAAACAAAGAAAAATTTAAAAAGGATCAGTGAGTTGTGGGATAACCGTAAATGGCCTAATATATGGATAATTAGAGGTCCAAAAGGAGAAGAAAAAAAGAACAGAAAAATATTTGAAGAAATCATGACCAAAAGCTTTCCAAACTTGAGCCAGGCGTGGTGGCTCACTCCTGTAATCCCAGCACTTTGGGAGGCCGAGGCAGGTGTATCACCTGAGGTCAGGAGTTCAAGACCAGCCTGACCAACATGAAGAAATCCCATCTCTACTGAAAAATACAAAAATTTGCCAGGCGTGGTGGTGCATGCCTATAATCCCAGCTACTTGGGAGGCTGAGGCAGGAGGATTGCTTGAACCTGGGAGGCAGATGTTGCTGTGAGCTAAGATCATGCCATTGCACTCCAGCCTGGGCAACAAGAGCAAAACTCTGTCTCAAAAAAACAAAACAACAACAACACAAAACTTTTCAAACTTAAAGATGACTATAAACCTACAGACCCAGGAAGCACGATAAACCCAAGTACAAGCAACAGGAAGAAACTATGCCAAAGCACATCGTAATCAAATTGCTCAAAGCCAGTGGTAAAGATGTTACACACAGAGGAACAAAGTTAAGAATGACATAAGATTTCACTGGAAACAATCCAGGTGAGAAGATGGTGGAGCAACATCTTTTAACTACTTAAAGAAAAAACTCTCAGTCTAGAATATTGCGAAAAAAATCTGTCAAAAACAAGAAATAAAGATGTTTTCAGGCTGGGCGTGATGACTCACGCCTGTAATTCCAGCACTTTGGGAGGCCGAGGCGGGTGGATCACTTGAGCCCAGGAGTTTGAGACCAGCCTGGGCAGCATGGTGAAAGCCTGTCTCTACTAAAAATACAAACATTAGCCAGTCTCATAACCCAGTCTCAAAATAAATAAATAGATAAAAATTGAACCATAAAATTTAAAAATTTTTGAAAACCATGTTTTCAGATATATAAAACTGAAAGGAATCACCAGCAGACCTCCACTACAAGAACTGTTAAAGGAAATTCTTCAGGCAAAAAGGTAATTGTACCAAATAAAAATATGATCCGACAAGAGAAAGAAATAAAGTGCGTCCAAATCGGTAAAGAGGAAGTCATACTGTCACTGCCGATGAT